TTAATATCTGCTTAGATTGAGAACTTAAATGTTGTTATGGTCTTCCCTTATATTTTTTATGTCCAAGGGTGAGCTGTTGATTGTAATTATATGTAAATGAAAAAAAAATCATGCATATAATGGGCTATTGATGAATAAATGATATATAAAGTATGATGACTAGCTAATAGTCATTGTGATAAATGTGATTGAGATCTTGGCCCCTAATTGCTAGTTATGGAAGGGTTTGAGTGGTCAAGTGTTATGTTGTAAATATATATATGTATTGTGGAGTAAGGCATAGAGAGAAAATAAAGGGAGAAGCTTTTCTCCCATGTTGATGTGTTTCCTTTATCATGCTTTCGCATATGTCTAATTGAATGATATGAGTTCTTGAAATATTTTAAAGACTTGGAATTTCTTTGTGTTGAATTGTTTGTGAAAATACATGTTAAGAATTTATTTAGGTTAATCTCTTATAGGATAATACTTTTGGGTTAATCCTTAATTTATTATAGTTAGTTTGATGATTAAGTCCTTATTTAGGACACTCTTTACATTATGAAGTCCGTTGACACTGTTGATGCTAATCTAATCAGCACATTTCTAAATCTTAAGATTCTATCTTGCTATGGAATATGGGTAGATAAGATCAACACAAGCAAGTTAAGTACATCAAGAAGGAGATTCAGCTTTAGTGAGGATCATGCTAGAGTAACGCTAGAGTGAGGAAGGAAAGGAGAGTCAAAAGGTGATTGAACACCATCCAAAACCTAGAGCAGGTGGGAGAGTTTATGATTTTGGCAATAGAAAGAGCGAGGTTGCAAATTTAGGGCAACAACAAGGTTTAGACTTCATATTTTTGGGTTCACACATCTGAGTCTCTCTTTGAATTCATTTTGGTCTTTGGTTCTAGAATATTTAGTATATGATTTGTTCTTTTTTGAGCTTTGATTCTTCATAGATTTCTAGGGTTTGTTAGTATCCCTTTTTATTTTTGAACTATGATTCTATGATTTTTTTTTTTATAAATGCTTTTGACCAAAAAAAATCTAAATGGTTCAACTACTTTAGTTTATGTGAATGCCAAGCAATTGTTTAGGGTCAATGTATGATGAAGAAGAAGATTTAGATGGAAATGAGAAAAAAGAGTAATTTTTAGTTTGATTGTTTAAAGTAGAATGGTAGAAGAAGATTTTTGAACACGATGGGTTTGATTTTATTTTGTGAAAGAATGTTGTGGAAAAAAAAAATTCTTTCTAGATTTGATTTCATGCTTCTTAGTGATTCTAGATTAATTTTATGTAGCAATTGGATGGGTGGATTTAGATTTGAGAATTTAGATTTGAAATTCATTTATTCTAAATTCTTTATTTAGATAATAAAAAATTTCAAATAATAATATCAAAATCCTTTATTTGGATCTTAAATAAAATTCTAAATTTTAAATTTTATATTTAAATTTAAAGATAACTTAGATGACATCAGCAGTCCTCCTAGCTAAAGTTGGTGGCCTAGTCCTGAGCAGAGGTTACAACCAGGTCTCGGTCAACTTTAACTGTCTGAACCTGGATGACATCAATGGTCTAGTCTTGATCAATAATGGTAGTCTAATTTCAATCAATGACAGAGTTTCGATCTCAAATAATGCCTATAGATTAGCATAGGACGATGATAATAGTTCAACAATTGCAAACTGTACTTAGATGACAACACAAGACCCTTATTAACAAGGATGTTTGGCACTAGACAAAGGAAGGCAAGCAAATCAAAGAAGATAATCACATATTAGTCCCAGGCAACGACGACGATAGTGGCGGACTGACAATGGTTGGATACGGTGAACCATCACAAGGCAATGGCAGCAGATTGACATTGGATGATAGTAATAGACCAACATTGAATGACAATGGCAGCAACAGCAGACCTGTACCCAGTGGTAAAGGAGGGTGATTGAAAGTGAATTAGAATTTGAAATTCCTAAACCTAATCAACATCGGCAATCCAATTTTGCATGGCGCTAGCGGTCTTGTCCCAAATGGCGCTAATTGTCAAATCCTGATCAAAATTAGTTGTGCAGTCCCAATCGAAGTTGGTAGTCCATGCTAGGTTGGCGTTTGCCTTTTGGTCTCGATCATCACTATCAATTCAGTCCCAGTCGACGATGTCAAAGTCAAGAAGGCAATTAAATCAACGAATGAATGTGAAAGAAGAGTGAGGTTTCAATGGAAATTTAAAACAATAAGAGTTTAGAAAATATTTTAAATTATAAAGGGAATGAGGTAGGACTTGGATCCACATATTTTTAATTATTCAAATAATAGATTTAAATTTGACTCAAATCTAAATCCATGTGCATTCAAACATAACATTATGGTTCTTTAGCGGTCATTCCATGTCCAATTTGTGGATTTTGTTGAAAGGAAGAAGACAATGGTGGATGAGAACTAAGGATGAACGTATTTGACTTCATGTAAGCTAAGATGGTCTCCACATTAGCCAAAATAGTCTACCGTTTGCTTACCTGTCAGTTTAACGATCAACGTTAGGCTCTTTAAATGATTTTGGGAAGGATGCCTTCAATAGAAGAGGTTAATGAGTATTCTTGCAACCATATTAAGATATTGGATGCTCTTTGGGGGGAAAAAAAGTTTGTGAATATTATACCCTTAATCATATAACAAATCATATGTTACTACAAAAATTATGAATTCGACACACACTTCGGTCTGTGTACATTACCATATATAGCCTATATAGGTTAATTTAAAAAGTCTATGGATTACATTAAATATATGTTTCGCTTTGGAAAAGCCATATGCATACAGTACTTATACAACTTGATGGGATTTGTTTAATTGTGCATAACCTTTGGGTTTTGTATGGATTTAAATAATACTTAATGATGACTATGAATTAAGTAAACTATAATAATTATAATTGAAAAGGTCTGAATAATAATACTGAGAAACTAGGACTTAATTTCTTGCCTTTCACAAAGTAAGAGTATGTTCTGACTTTAAACAGAATCTTGAGGAACATCTGGAATGTCACAAAAGGACGACCATTTCCATGTTTTTTTTTTTTGGTACAAATCTTGAAATTTGAAATTTGAACATTCAAATCAAAGTTAGGTGGATCCTGAAATTTTATTCTCTCGTCCTCTTCAATGTTTATTTTTCCCTTTAATAATATACACATACGCTTAGTAGTTCATTTGAAAGCAATGTTGATTTTTTTAAAGGACAATTTCAACATTAAACTTTAAATCCAAAAACATTTAGGAACAAACTTATTTGAAACCATGTTTACCTTTTACTTTTTAAAAACGGTACAATGATATCCTTACTATTAATTAAAATTAATTTTAATTATTAATTAACTAGAAAATTATAAAAAAGAACTTCAAAAATTACAACAAAAAAGACTACAAAATTATAGAAAATAACCTAAAATTACATATGGCAAGGACCCAAAAAAATTTCTTAGTCCTTTTCTATGATTCTTTAGGTTCTTTTTTGCAATATTTTAATTAACTAACAGTCAAAATAACATTTGTTAATAATAAAAATAATATTATACTATTTTAAAAAGTTATAAAAAATTTTATACTAAAAATAAATTTAGAATTTTTTGACACTCTTGAGTTTATAATTTAAAAATATATTAGCCATTTAAATTTTTTCCCTACTTCAAACTGACGCGTTTTCTACGTTATTTCTTTTCCAAAAAGTCATAGACCTACCTCTGAGAGAGAACGTAATATGAAGGGGACTTCTGATTCAATGTTTCTAGATGTTTTACCTCGTTTTGAACAAGAATCATGTATTTGAAACGCAATTGTTTTTGTTTTTCTATTTTTATAATTGGAAAAATATTTACAAGGGTATATTCCATCACCAAATGTTAATGGAAGTAATTTAACTAGAACAAGAATCATGAAAGTAAATATAGTTTCAAGAAATTTTGATTTGTCCATAAATGAAATGAAAATTTCTCATCCAAATTCTTGACCATTTGTGTTAACCTGCACGTAAAATACTCAATTATTAATTTAATAACAAAATATATACACACACATAACATGAACATTTAAAAAAAAAAAAAGCCAGTAAACGGAAATTATTGGTCTCATGAATTACCTCTGAAGCATTGAAGAAAAGTATACGTGCCTGCAGGTTACACAGTGACAGAGTCAATCAGGCATAAATTGAAGGACAATTATTTGTACCCCATATAGTCAAAATGGCCAGAATTGAAACGTGGAGGGTGACAAATAAATTCTTCCAAAATAAAAATAATAATAATTTAATCATATAAAATGTGATAATGATAATGAGATATTAAAAAAAAAAATTTAAAATTAAATTTATGTGTAAAATTATTTTAATAACCCTTCGCAATTTAAAAAATTATAATTTTCTAAATTATTTTAGTTATTAATGGAGCTAAATTTACAAATACTTATATTAAATTTGTAAACTATATAAAAATAATTGTATATGGATACTTTAAAAATTTTACACATAAATTTAATCTTAAATAAGTTTCTTAAGATCTCGCTGTCATTATCACCTTTCGTAGAACCAAATTGTCATTTCATATTTTAAGGAGATTTATCTATCATTTTTCCATCAAAATTCTCTTAAAAATAAGATAACATTTCCCATAATGACTTTTTATTTTTATTTTTCCATTACCCAACATCCTAGAAAACAGCATTGTGTGAGATCTTTCACAAGTATCTTGAAAATGCATTTGGCATATAATTATTTACATATTTCGGTGCTCGAATTCAAAATTTTAAAATAAATTGATTCAACTCTTTTATTCAGTTGAACCAAAATGTGCCTCCTCGATATCTCGTATTGATTCCTTTTTTGTTTGCAAAAGAGAAAAACATATATATTAAGAAAAAAATCTGCAATAATAAATTATAAATGGAGTAATCAGCTTCGTGTGCGTTCAACTTCTTAACCCCACCATCACTCTCATCATCATAATATATACATCCAGACATATCTATTATTTCCTGCTCTCTCTCTCTCTCTCTCTCTCTCTCTAAGATTGTATTCTCAAGTTTGTGAAAGTGAGAATGGCAAGAAAGTGCTCGCAATGTGGGAAAATAGGGCATAATTCTAGGACTTGCACATCTTTCAGAGGGATTAGTTCTACTTCTGTAGGAATTCGTCTCTTTGGTGTTCATCTTGAAATTTCTTCTTCTTCTTCTTCCTCTTCTTCTTCTTCATCTTCTTCATCATCAACACCATCTTCTTCTCCTTCTTCTTGTGTTGTTCCCATGTCGACGAAAAGCTTGAGCATGGATTCTCTGCCTTCATCTTCATCCTCATCATCGTTCTCCAATAATTCATCAAGAATCACCATTGATGAAAACTCCAAGAGATCCTCTGTTGACTATCTATCAGATGGTCTGATGCATGTCGCAGCACAAGACAGAAGAAAAGGTATGTATATATATTGTCTTTCTGCCCGATATATATATATATATATATATATGAGATTTAATTTGGATGATGAATTATTATTATTACTATTATTATCATAACTGCATATATTATAGGAGTGGCTTGGAGTGAAGATGAACACAGAAAATTTCTGGTAGGGCTTGAGAAGCTAGGAAAAGGAGATTGGAGGGGAATCTCCAGAAATTATGTGAAAACAAGAACACCAACTCAAGTAGCTAGTCATGCTCAGAAATATTTTCTTCGTCTCACTGCTATCAATAAGAAGAGACGATCAAGCCTCTTTGACATGGTATTTATTATTACATGACAAATATATATATATATATATATATATATGAACATGAAATTCAGCTTCCTTATCTCATTTTCTGATAGTAAACTTTGGTACTTCCACCAGTAATTATTAATTAATATTCTTTTCTCTGAGTTATAAAATGATGCACAAGTAAGCCCTTTCTTTTAGTATCCACCACAAAATTTATGGTTTGAAAACTTAATCATCCCTATAATTTTAACTTATTTATAATTGAGTATCTAAATTTTAACTCATTATAATTTAATTTTTATACTTTTTTACTTAATTTAAATTCAGTCAAGGACGGTCATGATGGGAAAGCAGGGGTGCTTTTCCTCATGTTACAAAATTTCTTTTAAAAAATGTTATTTTAATTTTTGTTTGTAAAAATTTTTAAAATTAATTTTGGGCTCCAACTATGATGTAGGCTTTCATTTTGGTTCCCCTTGAATGAGTTTTTAGATCTGTGTTTAAACTCAGCTCCTCAATATATAACTTGGTTTCTGTAGTGTTAGTCATTTATTGGAATTAAGTTTCAACTAAATCTAAACTACATAAATTAAGTTTTTAGATCAGTTAAAATTTAAGAATTAAATTTTAAATTATTAGCTCCAATAGCAAGATTAATTATGTGTCAATTTAACTGTATAATGAAATTGATGATATAAAATTAAATATCATAGATGGGCAGCAGCAATAGCAGCAGAGGCAACATGGGAGGTCAATTATTGTATAGCAGCTCAGTGGGAAAACAGGAGGAGGATATTAAATCTGGAATCGCCAAGTGCAGTGAAAAAGATGATGATGGGGAGACTGAGACTAGCCTGACATTGATGGGCCTAAGCTTGCTTGAAAAGGGAATCAAATCTGAAACAATAGTGCCCACGTGGCAGCATAATTCCCAGATGATGAATTCTTCTTCTTCACCAACATTATCACCTCATGATGATCTGGATCTCACACTTGCAGGACCAAGGGCATTGAAACATAATGAACCATCATCATCTTCTTTCCTTCTAAGCTCTATTTGTGTCACTTGAACTATATAAATATGTAGGCATCCAGTACTCTCTACTCTTTCATTTGTTGCAGATATATCAGATCCAAAAGCAATGCTTTTCCTTGTATTTATGGTAGTGATATAGAATCTAATTAATCTACATGCAGCAATTAAATACTAAGATTCCTCCATGATAAATAATGAACTATTATATCTCAAATATGTTTATAAAGCATGTATATATATCTACTATTTCTCATATTATGGTAATAATAAACTGGAAAGATATAAGGTTAATTTATGCCCATCCAAAATATAATCATTTTCTCTCAACTAATTTTAGTCTAAAATATAAGTAACTTAGTATTTGTTAAAAAAAAATTATTTTACCCCTTGTATTTATTAACATGAATTTCTTTGTCTATGAATTTATGATTTTTTTCACTCATCATAAATTAGATTAAAGGTGTATATATATATATATATTTTATAAGAATAAAGATTTTATTAATATGCTAATTATTGTTAAAAGATGTTTATATTTTAATCAAGGAGATATATTTTGAAAATGAATTTTCCAGACATCATGGGACATAGACCTTTTAAAATCTTTTTGCTGGTAATACACTTTTTTAGAACACAATATGAATGAAATGAAATTAATCAAAGGGAAGAAAAGTGATTTTATTGATGTAAAATGTCATCTTAATTTTTTTTTTATTCTTTTCCTTTTTTCTTGGTGGATGCTTAATGGGACCCAGATAACTATAAAATTCATAAAAGAATGGGCACCTTAGACCCCACCAGACAAAGTGCTAATGGCATGTTAGGAAGAGTAGCTAGCTAGCACATTAGTTTGACCTTTATTTATTCTCCACTCTTTTTTTATCTAAGCTAACTCCAAGTGACTTTTTATTTGAAGGATTAGTTAAGTATAGTGTTGGAATTGATATATTTAAATTTAAATTTTATATTTAAAATTTATGTATTTAAAATTATTTATTTGAATGATATAAAAAATTTTAAAGATAAAAGAGAGACAGGCTGAGATTCAAAATAGGAATGTAAGATTAAAAGTGATGAGCTTATCTTTATTCTTCAATCAATAGGAGATGAGAATGAGAAATGAGATGAATGGCAAGACTAATAGAGATATCGATAGTAAAAATGTGAAAAAAATTATAGAGTTAGAATATATTGAATTTCAAATAGCTAGAATTTAAAAGGAATTTAAAATTATAAAAAAGTATAATAAAATATGGATTTGTTTATTTGGATTGTCCCAATCAAAAAGACTTTTATATATCAAAAAAAATATTTGGTTTAAATTCAAATTTAAATCATCATGCATTCAATCGCGCCACAAGTATTTTATATCAAGATCACATCTTGAATAATAAGGATCTCTTTGAGAAGAGATGTTTATCAAGTACAGGATCAAACCAATGCACAATGTGAAACGGGGAAAGAAAAGAAAAAGAAAAAGAGATAAGAGAAAGACATCAGGGGAAAAAAAATGGAAAAGCAGGCTGTGAAGAAATAGGAATTTTAATGATAAAATTACACTCGGATCCGATAGAATAAAATTTATTATTAAGGGATCTCATAAAATTAACAAAATATTCTTAAATTTCAAATCCTGCACATTTACAACATAACTAAACAACAGTCACATATAACTTGTAAAGAAAAATGACAACTTGTAATAGGAAGTTGTAAATAATTGATGTTCAGTTATCAATACCCTTAATCAGGTTGTAAATACGTATGATTTGGGATTTAAAAGTATTTTGTGAATTTTATGGATCTCTTGATAATAAATTTTTTTCTATGAGACTTGGACATAATTTTCTCAATTCTAATTTATTAAATCTTAGTAACATTAAAATAATAATGAATCACATTCATACCCTAATATTAAAAGATAACAATTTAATCTAAATTTACCTGGATCTCTTATTTTACTGAAAACAAATAAAAGTTAAAATAATCCTATAAAAAATATAATGATAAGAAAAATTCCTAATTAACCCCGGAGATATTCTAAACATATTCCTTATTTAAATAATTCTAAATATGTAAAATAAACCCAATTATATCTTATCTATATTCTATTAGTTCTTGTCTATATAAATTAACAACTCGTGCCAACCCACACACATAGTGAATGAAACCTTAATCATCGTGCTCAAAGCTTGCGCATGCTTATCAATAAATTTGCAAACTCAAGATCCTCTTCTCATCATTTCTTTCCTCTTTTGTTTTTCTTTTTCCTCATCACATCCCCGCCATTAAAATAAAAATTCAACTGTTAAAATTTAACCAAATTCATTCATTAATTCATTTCAATAGTAGTCTATAATTAGTTTACACTTTCAGTTAAATAAATTAGTTTAGTTGTCAACGGCTTATAAATTGATTAAAAATAGATGAGATAAGTAGAGTAAAATAAGAGAAATCTGGATTCCTAGTGTAAAAATGTATGATTTGTAAAAGAAGTAAAGCATAAAAATATCCAACAACTTTTTTTTAAAAATATCCAATATCTTTAAGTGAACAAATATACTAAAATACCATTAACTTGTTATAATAAGTGCAAACATCTCTATTATGTTAAATTTGAACAATGTTCATTAACATTGACCGTAATGAAAATAGGAAACAAACATAACGTATAAAAATACCTAAAAAATTTTCTTTAAGGCCTTATGATACTCTTAAGTAAACAATAGTGTATGAGTATCTATTAACTTTACAAAAGAAGTCATACAGCCAAGTCCCACCCTAACAACTCGAGCTTATTTGAGCTGGACTGAATATCCAAATGGTTGAATATTATTTTATTATATTTTTTAGTAAATTTTAATTTTTATCTTAAAAAATTAAGATGTTCAATTTTTACCTAATTTTAATTTTATTTTATTAATAATAAAAAAGAATTCAAGTATTCAAGATAAGCCCATTTGACAAGCCTCAAATTTTTTTGAGTTTAATCAGGTAGCCCAAATGAGACCGAAATAAAGAAATTTTTTTAAAATTCCCGAACTCAATCCTAGAATTTTTCTAACATATTTGAGCTGACTCGTCATATTTGATCTAAATTATCAACTCTAATCTTTCTCAATTCATTAAAATAACTTGACATTAAACATAAAGTTCTAAGAATAGAATTTAAAAGATTAGGAAAGATTGGCCTATTTTATAAAATTAATATATACTCATGCACCATTGTTGACCATAAGATATTAGAAGCTCCTAAATAAACAAATTCTAGATATTTTTGCATCTTATACTTGCTTTCTTATTTTTTAACAGTCAATATTAACAGACATCAAACATGGAATGGGAATTATTGTACTCATTAAAATAAATTTATGGATACTTTTTCATCTTTATCCACATAAAGATAATGGGTACTCCTGTGAAAAAAATTGTTAAGTATTTTTCCCCTTTAATTATTTATAAAAAGTTTCTTTCAGTTCCTAGATTTTGTCATTATAAATCAAACTTTATTACTTTTATGGTTGGAGAAAGGGATTTAATACTGTTAAAATTTATTATAAAAGACCATAAAAAATTAAAATTAGGATGAAGGAACAAACTAAATGTAATTAACTATTATAACCTTAATATAAACCCTGTTAATAATGCCTTAAAATTAATGTGTAGAGTACTACAAAAAAATTCTTTTAAAAATAAAGTTTTGTATATTTCAATTCCACACAAATAAAAACAAAAATATAATATTAAATTTAATTAAATAAATATATTTTAAAGAATAATTACTTTTTAAATCATTAATTGAATATAATTTTAAAATCATTCTTTTAAAAAAAATTAAACAATATAATTTAAAAACATTTATTTGTTTATTTAACTATTATATTCAATTTGATATGTGGTTAGAAAAAATATAAGAGATTTGATTGGAGGAAATTTTTTATTTTAAAATTTATATTTTGATATTTAGTCCTTCTAAATAATTACTATTTTTAAAATTTTTTTTAATAAATACTGTTTTTTATAGCAATAATTTTCCCATGAAAAAAAAAAGCTAAGTTTTCTCATCTGGTTGTGATTGGAAAACGTGTACGTTTTTTATCCTTTAAGCGTTGTCCTAGTCGTGTCAGCGACAGGTTGGATCTTGTTCTTATCCTTCATTTAAATTATGAAAAACAAAATTATGATAGTTCATATTTTAATTTTATTTGAGTTTATGATTTTATTACTTTCTAATTTTAATTTTTTAATAGAACAAAAATATAAAATAGAATTAATTAATTAAAAATATAATTTAAAATTAATATTAAAATTTCGCACTGTTCAAATGAAACGTAGATGGCTCAAACTCAAACTTGAGGATGGTATATATATTGTTTTTATTCTTTAGATGAGCATCAAATTCAAACTTGATATTATATTTTAAACAGCATTCATTTGCTTTTGAAATTTGGTATGAATAATTATCCTACCAAATTCAATTATGATATAAAGATGAAAGATAGAGTTGTTTGGCTTTTCTACCAAAAAGAAAAATGGTAATAGTTTAAATTATCTCAAAACTGATAATTACAGCTAAAAATTAATAGTTATCTATGGAAGGCATTTGAATATTTAAAAAAAATGTTAGGTGATGTTTTTTTTTTTTTTGCCTGAAAAATGTTAGAAGATTGGAACCAAAAGGATTATTGCCGGTGAGAAATGTAATCCTTCTCTTATAGGCAATGATACATACATACATACATACATACATACATATATACATACATACATATATAATGGTAGAGCTAAGACCCTAAGCAAGAAAAAATTAATATTTTTTAAAATTTATAATAATATAAATATATTGATCATCAATTTTTTATTTTAAAAATTATATTGAATATGTTGATATGATTTTGTTATAAATATGCTCTTTATATCTTATATAGATAATTAAAATATTATATATTTAATAAGTTTTCAAGCTAAGATATTTTTTAGCCAAATATCAAGAATAAAAAATATAACGTTATAAAATTTACATGCCGCACGTATAATTTTTTTTTTTGAGGTGAGAGGTGTAAAGGTAACATACATATATACATTTTTAAATATAAGGCCTAAATAAACTAGATCTCAAGATGTGATTCAGTCAAACTCTTTTTAAATATTAAAAAAAAATTTAAGTAAAAATTGATC